GACATATTTCATTGTCATTTGGCCATGCTGTGCTTCATGTGTTGTATGTCCTAATTCCCCCAAATTCAAAGCATCCAAAGGTGCATTTTTAGAGAGAAATCAACTCTGTACATTATTTTTGGAAAACTTTTACAAAGTTTATGTAAGCTTTCAGCAGCCCAGGACATGCATGTTTAGGCCAATACAAAAGCAAGGTGAGCCTTGCACAGTTAGTAAGGACCTAAGAACATCCCAGGGGTAAGAATTGACAGTATGAACAGGATTGGAACACATGAGATTACCCCAGCTTTACAAAGTGTACACTTCCCTTAGGCACATCAGTTAATTAAAAGCTGTAAATGTTTAAAAGGTAACAGTGAGAAGCTTTGAATGAAGCACATTGAGAGTGTGACATTTAGAATACAGATTTCTCTGCAATCTCAGAGCCAACTTTGGGTCTATTTTCAGCACTTCTTTTCAGCTAAGTGTATTTTACTGGAATCAACATCATTGCCAGCAGCTGATCTGCAGGCTCTCCCTGTGTCTTTACTTTAATCTCAATTTAATGTTGAAAGCACGATGATAAAACCTGCTGCCAAGAGACATAGACCTAACTACAGCATCAAGGACATAGATGTTTAGCCAATGCCTGGCACACACTGACAGATGTCTTAAGGGATGGTTTCATTGAGAACTATTTACAGTGTAAGCATGCTGTCAGAAATACTGAGCTGAAGTTGAAGAAATCCATGTTTGCAGCATGTGAGATAGATGGATCCTTTACAACAGCAAATGATGCTGCTAAAATGCTACAATGACACAGTAAATCTTACACAAATCTGTCTGTTTTCTTTTGCAGCCAGTCAGATGCACATACACACATATATTCGCGGGTTCACACAGACACACAAATCTTGCTGTGGGTCATGAGCATTCGCCTGGAATGGCCAAAGAATTGGCCTTGAGCTCTGTGTGTAGAAATGGATAGAAAAGAAACAGACAGAAAGCATCAAATACCTAAATGTGGACAAATATAGAGAGGAAGGGAGAGAGAGGCTGAATGAGAAAGGAAAATATTAAGAGTCAGAGAGATATTCTGGCTTCCTAAACAGGACGAGATAAATTGGCCTCACAGCAGTTGGTGTGTGAAGCATCCAGCTGACACAAACATACACACACACACACTTGGTTCATTCATGCTTATATTGTCTCACTGAGTTAGTCCATCCCCATATGTTAGTTTGCTTCCCTGCTCATTTCTGTAACTTATCTGATGATGACCCAAAAACAACACAGGGATATAATGGAAAAACCGGAGTTTAGCCGCCTTTTTGAGTAGACATATAACTTCATGATGTGAAGTTGTGGTGTATAGTACGAATAATCAACCTGATGTATGATATTTCAGTATGGTCTCATTATATTTGTTTTTGGTTTGCCTTATGATGATAAAACAATCCTGAGTCACATTAGCAAAACCTGATAATTTAATGTACTATGTAAATTCAGACTGATGACATAATACATCTCTTACAACATTTGCATATTTTGTTTTCCCTTGGAGCATGAGAAGTACCCACATCCTTTCTTTAGAAATCGCTTTCTTTTGTCTATTTTTATCCTACACCAGTGGTTCACAACATTTTTTCCTTAAAGGACCCACTTTCTATCATTGAGTAAACTGACAATCCCTGACATATTTTATGGATATTTCATATTATATTCAACGCATATAAAACTACAAAACAACTGATAAACTGTACAATGACTGCACATGATAACTACAGGAAGTGTGTCTTTTTAGGAACTTTTTATACAATTCTCTGTCTATGTTGTGTATTTTATTTATACATTGTGACTATTCTTGTGTGAGGGCTAAGTGGGTTTGGGTTTAAAATAATAATGTAAACTTTAAAAATAACATTTTTTTTGTAATTCTTTTTTTAACATTTTTGTGACAGAAAACGAAGAACATGCTGAGATATAGGCTTACTGTGTTTATTTTTTTAGGTTTTACACCCCTTAAAAATCAAGAAGGCCACAAGACCCCTAGTGGGAGTCCCGACCCCTAGGGACTGTTGTACAACATGATTCCCTTCCTGACTTCAGGTACCTGGAATTTGTTGTTTTGTGCCACCTGCACTATTTGATATGTAATACAAAATCTGTATTAAAGAGATAACTGGGAAAAATGCAAAAAATAAGTGTTGTGTTGAACATATTCTTATCAGTTATATTTTGTTTGACTGAGTTGTAATTTAGTTTGTACAGTTATTAAAGTTAATATATGAACAGCATCGTGTTAGCAATGGTCAATATAAAGAAACAAAGATTTCTTATGTTCTCAATGGTAAAAATGTGTCTTTCAATATTATATTTCTCAAAACAAAACTCACTTTCTTCATTTCCCTGCATATTTTATATATATGTTGCAGTGGGATTTTGCACGAAAGAACAGAATAGAAATGAACTTTATGTGTTCTAATACTGATCCCATGCTTTGAGCTCTTGTTCTCTTTAATAAAACACATCAAAGCTCTGCATGCAGGAGAAAAAGCATTATATCTAATCACAGTGTTAAGCACTGATTTCAGTACAATGTAAGAAATGTTCCAATTTGACAACTCAACATGGGAGCCAACAGAAACTATTTCCTTAGCAGTGCTTCCACAATAAATTCACAGAGAGAAAACGTATAATAGCTGTTATTTCCAATGTTATCTCCCTCCACAGGAGAGTAGATGAAGGGAACTGAGGAAATGTGGTTCTGAATAATTTCTTAACAAATGAAGCAATGCCTGTTCATATCAAATCATGCTCAACAAGAGGCCGGTGTACATCTGAACCACAGCACAAAGTGCATGAAAAAAGAACCTCACTTTGGTCCTGGGTTTCAAAATGTAAGAGATATTGAGCACTAAATGCAAGACAGCATACTCCACTTTCACTCTATGCTGCTTGAACATCACATTATGTCAGACTAGAAAATCACTCAATGTGTGTGTTTTCATGTGTGTGTTTTTATGTGAGGGCAAGAACTTCCAAACAGCGTCTGGATGTGTGAAGCAAAGACGGAGTGCATGTTAAAGTGCCTGTTTGTCACAGAAAATAAGTACAGTATGTTGTTATTGCAGAGACACCAACATGCATATTGCACATGGCAGAACGACAAAACACTAGCAGGAATGTGCACACAATTAAAGAGACTGCAGCCCTCCCCAGTCACACTCACACACTCACACACTGACACACACACAATACAAAAGTCCAGATGGAAGTAAGCTTAAACTCCGAACAGCAAAGTGCAGATGTTACTGCTGAGTCAAAGCTGAGACAAAAGACACTGAAGCTTGAAACAATGTATGTTTAATCTGGAAATGAAACAAATGCATACACAAAATGGTGCAGGGAATGTAAATGTACTCAATTGTTTGAGGGTAGATATATATTGTGCATTCAAGGAAACTTTAAAAGTGCTGTAGTAATGATGAATGATGTATTGCTGAGTCTAGGCATCTGTCAAAATAATGGATGCTCTGGAGTTGCTGAGAGATCCATTGCATATTAAAAACAGGCAGAATACATATTCCTGCCATGGTTTAAGTCCACTCCAGTTTCTTTGATGGCAGTCAGTTTACCCAAAACCACTGTGAGCGGTGCATAATTAATCAATTTTCTAAAATTATAAAGATTGAATTGATCCCAAGTCCTGTATACATATACTGTCTGTGTGTGCCTGACCCTATGACCCTGCAGTACCTTTCCAATTTACATTTTTGTACTGTATATACTATTTGACAGACCCCATCTTATCCTAGCTGTATTGGCTGAACCGATCCCATCCCAGGCCAAAAACACCCAGTTGTCATTCTCATTAACTGCCTTGACCAGGTTAAGTGCTCAATGTCAAATAATTGCCTGCAGCTACATGACAATAAATCCCCCAAAGTCCCCCAAATTCTATTCAGGGCAACCATAATAATCTTAGCAATCTGTCAATAAATGTTACCCAGGAGTCCTGTTCAAGTGAAATAAGGTTGTACAGAAAGTTGTCCATGCTTTTATTTAATTCTCTTTGGACTTCTGCAACTCCATTTTTTCATGTTTAAAGCAGATCTGCAGTTTGTCCAAAATGTGGCAGTGAGGATCAAATTCAGGAAGGATGACCACATTACCTCCATTTTAGACTACCTTCACTGGCTACAAGATAATTTACAACTTTACTGTACTAATTACTTTCAAGGCTACATTAGGCTGAGACTCACAAGCCAGTATCTAAATGCTTCACTCAATAGAGACTGAGGACTTTATTTCTTTTATTTTACTTTATTAGCTATTGTAACACTGTCGTACCATATAACGTTGCTTGGGACATCCATTTCAGTGTTTTAAAAGGTTCTCTCTGTGTTACAAACTGATTCGCTTCATATACTTTTGACTATTGAGGAAAGCATGGTTTCAGGTAAGGCGTGTCCTTGAAGTAAGTAATGTTTGCTCTCGCAGTCGTTGAAGCAACTACTTTGCATTTAGAAATCTCCAGACAATTTGTAGGCGCTGAGATCTCCAATTATCTTGTTTAGTGACTAGAGGCGACAGAGCCTTTACCGTGTTTTAATCATCAACAGTCCCCTTCTAACTGATCCTATCCTCCCCTATCGTATTCCTCCCCATTCAATGTTTTCTTACACTACTGTATAGAATCCTGTCCCAAATCATCCAATCTCATTCCATCCCATCCTGTCATTCCCTATCCTATTGTTAATGCATCCATCCATCAATCTGACCAGGTAGACACCATACCTTATTCCTGGCATTCCTATTCCTTGTTCCTCTCATACTGCCATCATATGCCAAAACACATTTTGCATTTTGCTCTTAAATCTATAGGCTATCTCAAATCAATTCAGCTTTAATTTTAAAGTAATGCTACAATTCATAACATTTCTCAAACCACAATACAAAATACATGTGATATATTTTCCATCCTCCATCCATCCAAGCATCCATGCACTGTGTCCTACCTGTGACTTTGAGTTGTGTTGTCCTCCGCACCAGTCTGGATCCATACTTTAACTCACAGGTGTAATTTCCCCCGTCGCCTTCCTCCACCTCAGGAATCCAGATGTTTGTAGTGTTGACTGTGATGGAGCTTCTCCATTCTACCCGCTCACACTCCTGACAGAAGACAGACCGATCAGGTTACAGTACACTGGTCTACAGAAGACTTAGATATGGTTAGTCTAAACTTTTTTTTGTGTGTATCTTACCTTATACCAGGTCATCTGTGGTTGCTTGTATGGAAATAAATAGTCTTCTATATCTGGGCAGTTGATCATTTTACTATGGGTTATCTCAGCTTTCTCCAGATAGCGGATCTTGCTGCTGAAGCATTTCCCCTCATCACTCTCCTCCACAATCATCGACATGGACACTTTCATGCAGTATGTTGAGTTCCTGGACAGATTAAAAACACGTTAAAAAAATATGTTATCATGTTCTTCTACTGGCATTAGCAGACTTTTAAACTTTGTGATAAGCAAAGTTCCTGAGAAGTGCAAAAAAAGTGAATAATCACCAATCAAATCTCCAGTTGTAGTTGTGGATGTTAACTACTCACCATCACAACAATAACACATAAGATTTGCTGTCTGTATTTCTAAGGCAAGTCAAGCACCCTCAAATGAATCTGAGTGGGTTTGATTTGAGCAAATTTGTTTATCCAGTCACAAGTTAACAACAGCAGTGGCATGAGTCACTCCTCCATTTGTCTAACACTAGACCTCTATGTGAAACAGTGTAAGAGCTGTTTTCATGGTGAGTATTGGGTAGCCCATTTGGCACTGTTGTGGGTATTTTGGTGAAATTATAGGCCCTGTGACATCTCAGTGTTTCTTTGACAACATTGAAGGAATTGGCATCCAGAAGAAATTACATGTTGTACAACCTCTAACACACACAAACAAAACACCATTTCATGAGAAATGAAACTCTGTAAAGGAACAACTTTAGGAAATAGTTTATTCTTTTCACTGCATGTAATCTATTTTGGCCATAAAGGCTTGTGTTGACCGATCAGTCTTCATTCTAGTTGAGATTTAAAATTTCAGGATTCGCTCATCATGGCGAGGAATAAATGTTGGTATTTGGATTTATTAAATGACCAGTAGATTTCTGACCCTAAGAAACTAAACATCTGTGCTCATAATAACAGAATTCCATTGTCAATCAAAAGTACTAAGCTGACTAGCTTAGCAATTGCTAAGTCAGTCAACTCACATGAAAATGGAAGCTTACCACAGACTCAGAGCTGCTTAAATGAGAAGCTGCAGGTGGATCCTTGTTAAGAGGTGGGGCATATAAGTGTTCTTTAATATCAAGTCGCAGTGTTTTCAAACTGAGCAAGGAAGCAGCAGCATGGCAGAGCTACAGAGTGTGGAGTGCAATGCCACCTCAAATCGATTGCTTTTCAAGGTGTATATTGAAAATATGCTGCTGTGAGCAGCACACCTTGTCTGTCTGAGCCATTTTAACTCCATTGGCCTTTTTCTCCACACCAGACATTTCCTACATGCCATGGTAGGAAAAGGACAAGTGTTACTAATAATGTTAACGATGTGCTCTGGTCTATTGAAGTGTCCAAGCAAGCCTTGACAGCCATCATTATTGCATTATTTACACATGTGCTTTAAAAGCCTGTATCTGCTCAAACTGCCATGGTAAGAGAGATTTTCTGGAATTACAAGAAAAAAAGTAATTTTCTCACTTTTAGAATAATGCTAGTTGTTTCTCTGCAAGCATATGCATTTGACAAAGCTATCTGTGATGGATAATGACTACTACAACTAAAACTATTAATCCTTAAGTCACATATGACTATTACACAAAATTGCAGGCAAATGTTGACAAAATGGTGACAAATTGGTTAAACCAAGCTTTAAAAAGCTACCTGTTCCGCACTAAACAGCCGACAGACAAGTTAGCGACTATCTGGGGAACATATGGAAGCATTTAGCAGCAAAAACGTCAGATTTGTCCCTCAGGAATTAGGAAACCAAATGAGAGCTAAAAGGAGAGTGAATATTTCACTTACATTCATCAGGTACCCAAAGACACGACTCCGGTCAAATGCTAATGTTGCTGCATGACTGCTGTATGTGTAAACTATTTGCTATGTGCTATTTGCCATTACTGTATGAGGTTATAATACATCGATGCTTGGTTTACAGCTTAATGCTACCTAAATTAATGATATATAATACATTTGTGGTATTATTTTGGACATACAGTGCCTAGTGTTTGCACACCTGATAAAATTAAGGTGAAGCTCTTAATTGGATCAGGTGTGTAAGAACAGAGCTGAAGCAATAACTTATAAGACAGGTAGACTATATGGACTGCGGGTTGAAAAACCCTGCGTGTGTCCCAAAAAAAGAACACTTGATTATGTCAAGAGTGAGTTGTTATTTTTTATTGGTGCTATGTTGGAGGTTAGAGCTCTTTAATGTCAGCAAGATAACTCACTGCATCCTGCTGTTGTGATGTTACATGTGTGGCAGCATGTCCTTGAGCCAGATTATCTAATTAAATAAAAAAGAACAGACTTTGAAGTGCGCTATGATAGGTATGATGCAATGTGTTTTCAACATTATTTTAGATTTAGGATCTGTTCAAGGTGATTGTAATTGTTTGTGTGTTTCCCAAGTTCACCCCAGACACAAAAGACCACATTGATCTTTCTTTCTTTCTTTCTTTCTTTCTCTCTCTCTCTCTCCTTACACAGCACACCACAACACGACACACACAACCCACCCATTGTCCCCTAACCACAACCTCTCATCTAAGTGGATCTAAACCACTTATCCCATCAAGCTGTAGCTGTGTGTTTATGTGTGTGTGTGTGTGTGTGTGTGTGTGTGTGTTACAGGGGACACAGGGATTTTTTTTGTCATTGACCTAACCAAGACCACTGAGCATTGAACTAGAGGCCTGGAAAACCTTTTATCCATCAATCCATCTCTCAGTTTCTCTCTTCCTCATCAATCCATCTCCAGCCTACAGCATCTTGTTTTCTCCTCCAGTGATTCAGTTACCTTTTCCTGTATGCTCCTGTGGCTCTCTCTCTTTCTTGCCTTTTATGAACCCCTAACATTATTTTTTGCGCTCCACAACACAGCCATGGTTAATTTTATGCTAAAAAAATAAACACATGAATAAATAACAATGGAACCGAACTACATGCATCTGGGGAACCACACATTGTATGCTCCTGATGACGGTTATGTTAGCTGATGTTATCAGTTACTGCAAAGACCTTTGCACTAAATGCATCCTGTTCCTTTAGCTTGTACGTTTGATCTTGTAAATACTGAAAGTGTTTGTTTGATTTTCTCCCTCTTTTTTTACATAAAATACACTCTAGCACTGTAATGAGTTTGCGATTATTTGGCCTTTTATGTGGCTTAAGGTGACTGCAACCAATACAACCACTGAGCTTTATGAATGTGTGATGACATAATCAATATGCAAATTAGCATATGGTGTCATATGGCAAGTTTTAGTGACTTTAGGAGCTATTGCTAACTACTTTCACTAAAGAAGAGTTGGCAACACTGCAGACCAGCAGACAGGACATTATTTAAATTCGCTATCGTTTGAATATGTGATATGCAGGCTGTTGACCATCTAAATCTTCCTCTATGTTCCCAAAAGGAACAATTGTAAACTGTTTATATATGTTTGAAACGTGTCACAGACAGACAGTGTTAGTTGGCAAACATGGTGGATCATTTAGCAACTAGCCTGATGGAGTTTGTGAAGACCAATATAGCGTTAAAAGGAGAATGACTATTGAACTAAGTTCCTCCAGGTGGCCAGAAATACAACTTCAAATGAATGCTAATGTTGCTCTGTATCTGCAGGATATGTAAATAGGAGAGAGTTTGCTACTTTTTTCCATAATCATTTTAAAAGATGATGTGCCAATGCTGTTTTTACAGGAGGATAAAAAGTACATATACAATATATTATTAAGGTAGATTTACAGCAAACAAAGTTTGGTTTAGCTTTTGCTGTATTCACCAAGTTGTCTAAAGCTAGGAGTTGGTCTTTGTGGTTAAAATCTAAGAAAATTCTTACAATTATTTTTTTTATACAAATTTCCACACAAAAATGATATTAAATCCCCCTGAAGATAAAAGCTGTTAATGGAACATCTCACCCCTTAAGACAGCTGCTAATGTGCATATCTGTCAAGAAAAAAGGAGGGGGACATTTATGTGGCACAGGACTTTATTAAGCAGACAAGAAAATGGCTGCAAGAAATAGACAAATGAGAAAAGATCGTGAAAAGCCGAATAACAGAGTTAATATAGTGCTATGGATTAGATTGTACAAAGATGAAATTTATGGTTTATCTTGATCTTATTGAGATGTGTTTGCATTTCAGAGCCTCAGGTTATTTCATTCTCATGAGTCGTGCACACTTTGCAGGCCAATAAAGTGGCATTAACAGCGCTGGTGTTTATCAGGATCATTTATGAGACACATGTCCACTTTATTGGCAGTCTAATCTGTTTTCAACAACCCTATTTACTGTACCTAGGCTTACCACAATTGGTAGGAAATAAAGTCTTCTTGTGTAATTGAGAGATAAGACATGATAATAGGATTATTGCATCCACATACAAATAAGGTATTAAATGACAGAACTGTAGGATGGGTCCATTCACTCAGTTAGCAAACGAAAGGACTGCTTGTTAGGGTTTTTTAGTCTGAGAGCAGTAATATTGTAAGAGGTGACATAGCCAGTTGTTTTTTATTTGAATTGTTCAGAATTGCACTCTGCATAAACTCACTATTAATAAATTAGTATAGTAATACGCTGATTCGAGCGTGAGAAAAAATTAATACAATTTTCGTGTGTATATGAAACTATAACCAGTAGCTAGTTAGCTTAGCATACAGGCTGGAGACAGCTAGCCGGGCTCTATCCAGAGGTAACGAAATCTAAAACCAACATCTCTAAAGCTCAACACATATTAACTCATTTGTTTAATTAGTAAAAAAGTATAAAAATTAAACATTTTGATTTTTGGAGGGCTTATGTCTGGGACTATTTATCTGCCTTATTTACTTAATTAGTCTTAATTAGTGAGTTTTAGAGCAGCTTGGAGGTAGATTTTGTTTCCTTTGAACAGAGCCAGGCTGGCTTTGTCCCCCTGTTTCATCTTTAAGCTAAGCTAAGGGGCTACTTGCTGTAGCTTTATATTTAGCATGCAAACATGACAGTGGTTGATCTTCTCATCTTACTCTTGGCAAGAAAGTGATAATGTGTTTTTGATTTAAAAAATGTTGAACTGGTCCTATCATGTCACTCCTATACTGTACAGTAAATGAGTGAAAGCGTTAACAATATACACCAGGTGTTTTTTTATTTTTATAGTTACCATGTTTGC